TTTCTTCAATTTCTTCTTCATTATCGCCCAAAACTTTTCGATCTGACGAAGTTCTGCTGTATTTGGCGGGTTCGCCTCCTTCGGGACCACAATAACGCCCTTCGCTTCGTACCAATCCATTACAGGCTTGGCGTAATGGCACGAAGTGAGATCCGACCAGAACAGCGTGGGACCACGGTGAGAGCGGAGGAAGGGCAGCAAGCGCTTCTGCAAGCATTCCTCTCGATAAATCTGCCCGTGCCGGTTGTAACGAACGGCTTGCTGTACCGTCCGCACTCGCAGATCGCCTGCCACAACAGGTACTTCTTCGCGAATTTGTCCATCTTTCTCTTCCGGAACTTTTCCGTAACCTCCATGCGGGACGTACCGACAAAAAACTCGAGGCCGGGGATTTGTTTGGTGTCCGCCTTAATGTATGTCTCGTCGTCTATGACGAGACAGCCTGGCTTGACCAGCCACTCACGGTACAGCTTCCGCGCTCGCAATTTGGCCACCGTGTTTTGCTTGTCAGTCCAGTTTGGCGCCTTCCTGACCACGTAGCCCAGTCCGCTTCATGGTCTGCTGGATGAACCACTGGGACGAATTGATCTTTTTGGCCACGTCTCGGGTGGACGCGCCTTCTCTGGGTACTCCGTTTTCGGTTTTCGGCCGCTTACAGCGTGCCACTCGATGGTCTTCGTCTCCTGGAATATCTTCACAACGCGGGACACGGTGAAATGGTGGATTCCAAGCCTTTTGCCGATCCATCTGTGCGACTGGCGTAGCTCTTCTTGTTTCGAATGCATCTTGAAAACTACTTGACATATCGCGATAAAATTTTGCACACATATACATAACACTCTAAACTAGTGTTACCCAAAATTTTATTAATTTTTACCCACGCGATAGAAAGCTACACCCAAAACAAAGTGTCGCATTTTTTCCGAGTGCAGTCAAATCGTTTTGGACTTACACTCTGCTAATCAACTTTAAGCATGTTCTGGGATACTTTAAGCAAGTTCCGGGTAACTTCAAGCAAGTTCCGGAGAAGTTCCATATGTAAATGGAACTTCTCCGGAACTTGCTTGAAGTTCTCCGGAACTTGCTTAAAGTTCCCCGGAACTTGCTTAAAGTTCGCAGGAATTTGCTTGAAGTTTCCCGGAACTTGCTTAAAGTATCCCAGAACATGCTTAAAGTTGATTAGCAGAGTGTAAGTCCAGAACGATTTGGAATTGGGCGTTATTGCCTTTGTGAAGTTCCCACAACTTTCTTAAAGTTCCCTGGATATTTTCCTTTTTCCGCGAAACATTCATGCAGTTCTCTCGGAACTTCCACAAAGATCCCCAGAACTTCCTTAAACGTCACTCAAACCATCCTAAAGTTCCCTGGTTTATCCGGAATTTTCTTAAAGCTCCCTAGAAGATCCTTTAAGTTCCTCAGATAAGCCGTCTACGAGTGGTTTCGAAAAAAAAAACGCGGAGTTTTAGGGTCAGTTTCATGAATTGACCACTTTTACGGATATTCCGGGTCTTTCGGTGGACCATCCAGAGGTTCCCTTGAACAATATTACGGTCGCAGCTCTGAATTCGTTTTAATATGACGTCTATGAGTGGTTTCAAATAAACCGCGAATTACTAGCAACAGTTTCATGAGTTGACCAATTTTAGATGTTCCGGATTTTTCAGTTGACCACCCTGTGGTCCCCAGTACCCATTTTTGGGTGTCTCAACTCCAAAATCATTCTGATAAGCCGGCTACGAGTGGATTTGAAAAAAAAAACACGGAGCTCTTGGATCAGCTTCATGAATTGACCACTTTTATGGATGTTCCGGATCTTCTGGTAGACCATCCAGAGGTTCCCTTGGTTCATATTCCGGTTACAGCTCTGAATTCGTTCTAATAAGACGTCTATGAGTGGTTTCAAATAAACCACGAATTTCTAGAATCAGTTTCATGAGTTGACCAATTTTACAGATGTTCCAGATCTTTCAGTGGACCATCCTGTGGTCCTCAGTGTCCATTTTCGGCTGTCTCAACTCCAAAATCATGCGGATAAGCCGGCTACTAGTGGATCTGAAAAAATCGCGGAGCTCTTGGACCAGCTTCATGAATTGACCACTTTTACGGATGTTCCGGATCTTCCGCTGAACCAGAGGTTCCCTTGGTCAGTATTTCGGTCACAACTCTTAATTCGTTCTAATAAGACGTCTGTGAGTGGTTTCAAATAAACCACGAATCACTATAATTATTTTCATGAGTTGCCCAATTCTACAGATGTTCCGGATCATTCGGTGGACCATTCCTTGATCCCCAGTGTTTCATTCTGATAAGACGTCTATGAGTGATTAAGAAAAACAAAAACGTGGAGCTCTTGGATCAGTTTAATGAATTGACCACTTTTACGGATGTTCCGGATCTTCTGGTGGACCATCCCGTGGTCCCCAGTGTAAATTTTTGGGTATCACAACTTTGAAATCATTCTGATAAGACGTCTATGAGTCGTTTCAAAAATACCACGGAGCTCTAGGATCAGTTTCATAAGTTGACCACTTTTACGGATGTTCCGGATCTTCTGGTGGATCATGCAGAGGTTACCTTGGTCAATATTCCGGTCACAACTCTGAATTCGTTCTAATAAGACGTCTATGAGTGGTTGAGTGACCAATTTTACAGATGTTCCGGATCTTTCAGTGGACCATCCTGTGGTCCTCAGTGTCCATTTTCGGGTGTCTCAACTCCAAAATCATTCTGATAAGCCGGCTACGAGTGGATTTGAAAAAAACCACGGAGCTCTTGGCTCAGCTTCATGAATTGACCACTTTTACGGATGTTCCGGATCTTCCGCTGTACCAGAGATTCTCTTGGTCAATATTCCGTTCACAACTCTGAATAAGACGTCTATGAGTGGTTTCAAATAAACCACGAATTTCTAGAATCGGTTTCATGAGTTGACCAATTTTACAGATGTTCCGGATCTTTCAGTGGACCATCCCGTGGTCTTCAGTGTCCATTTTCGGGTGTCTCAACTCCAAAATCATTCTGATAAGCCGGCTGCGAGTGGATTTGAAAAAATCGCGGAGCTCTTGAATCAGCTTCATGAATTGACCACTTTTACGGATGTTCCGGATCTTCCACAGGACCTGACTAGTGACCTACCGGAAACTGACATCAGGAAGCTATCTCTTCTAATTGCCGTACAATCAGGTTTGGTCCCAATTAGCTCAAATCCCATATGGTACGTGAATTCGTTAATGCCGGACCGACCGTGTTATAGGAATCCAGTGTCAACCGTACTATAGGAATCCGGCAAGAACGAATCTTGACTGTATATGCTACTGCTACCAGCAGTGCCTGACGAATTGGAAGTAATTCTTTATGCTTGATTTTCGTGGACTTCTAGAATCTTTCTTATAGGATGTTTTCCGGCAGGTCCAGACACTGTTGGGAGTGCGTAGCCAGGACGTCTAATTCGTTTGATGAATGGACGGAAGATGGGCAAACGTGGAAGATTTATTCACTAGCCTACTATGTAAGTCACAGCTTATTCAATTCTCTGATGCAAGCAGTTATTTGACAAATCCCAGGTAATAACAGGCCGGTGGCAGGCTCGTAGGCAACATTCTATACGGTGACAGCGGGCCCAGTACAACAAAACAAACGATTTGGGCCCCGGACATGCTGCCTACTGTCAAACATAGCTGTTAGTATAGGTCTTGTCACCGGCCTGGGTAATAATGATATTTAATTGTAGACAACAAAATGAACAAAGGAAAGAGACTTACTGTTGTCATGATTAGCTGGATATTGTCAAATAACGTAAATACTGACACTGCTTGCATTGAATAATAGAGGGGAAGTGTTACCAGATTAATTTCAAGCATATCGATTTAATTTTTTTTTTAAATCGATGTTCATCGATACTCACTATTTTAATTATTTTTTTTTTCAAATTCAAACTTCTGGAATAGTATCGGAAAATTTACTCTCCAGGATAGTTCGGAAGGAATTTCCGGGGCTTATTTGAATTCACTTCTGAAGGAAGCCGAACAATCCTTCCAGAGAAATAATAACGATGCTCTTCTGGAGGAAGTTTGAAGAAAGTTCCATGAAAAGTCCGGGGATCTTCCAAGACAAATATTGACAAAGTCAGATGAAACCTTCTAGCAGACGTCGGAAAAATAACCTACGGAGAAGCTTCCAGGATGACGAAATAAATTTCAGGGTGGAATTCGAAAGATACATCCGGTAGAAGTTTAACGGTTCAACTGAACTTCCTGGAGAAGACGGAAGAAACTTCCTGAAGACGCTGGAATAAACTTCCTAAAGTAGACTGGAAGAAACTTCTGGAGAAAGTCGGAATAGAGAGCGCTTACGGAATAGTAAAATGAAACTTCAAGGAGAATTTGGGAAACGAAATCCGGAAGCAAATGATTTACGGGGGACTTTAGCACAATATTCCCTGAAGTTCCTTACATGTTCTTAAGGTTCCAGCAATTTTCCTGATATTCATTAAACATCCCTGAAAGCACTGCAATGCCCCTGAAGTTTTCGGATTATTTCTGAAACGTAAATTCACGGAACCCCTTGAAAGTTCCTGAATGAGGCCGTTCTTATAGCGAATTCGTTTATTATTCAGTTCCAACCTGGATCGGGTATCAAGACTGGGTCTGCTTGTTTTCTGACAAACGTCAGTTTGCTCGTTTGTTTTTAAAACCTAGCTCAGGTTGAGGTTCACACTGACAAAAAGTTCGGTTTCGCACTGGGTTGGAACTGGTGTTAACCCCGATAATAAACGCATTCGCTATTAATCTGAACACTTTTTAGTTAAAACCCCGCTCATCTGCACGCCGTGCAAACTAAATTTTAAGACCAACAATTGAAAAGGCCTCAACTTCATTTTGTAAACAAACCTTGTAAAACCATTTTCTCGCGAACCGAAACCTACATTCATTAGGTTCGCGGCAAAATGGTTCTACAAGGTTTGTTTTCAAAGTGGAGTTGCGGCCTTTTCAATTGTTGGTCTTGAATTGCTCAAACGTCATTTAAGACATGGAATGGAGAAAACCGAAATGGAACAATGCGAAACGGAACGCAGAATCAAATCTAAACAGCAAATAAGGCTGACAGGTGGAATAGAAAAAAACGAATAGAAGAGAAGTAGGCAATACAAAAAAATGAAACCGAATTTTTTTCTGCTTTGAATTTATTGGCATGCAAAAAATCAGAGTAAATTAGGCATGCGCCAGCGCACGGCACACCTCGACCAGCAGTGTCGGATGCTCGACGGCCATAGTTTTCCAGTCTGCACTTTCCACCACTTTGTCCATGTTCGTTTTGATAAACTTCATCGTGCGTGACTTGAGCTGTTGAGTATTCATCCTATCAGCGAAGATCAGCGTCTTGATGGCCGTTGGAATTGCGAGGGTGTTGAAAATGGTTTGTTCGCATTGCGCTTTCAATCGGCTCAAGCCATACTTGTCAGCAGCAACCAGCAGTTGGTCAACCGTTCCTGGAGAAATGTCAGTTTTGCCGGTGTAAATGAACTGCAGCAACTGTTGTGCCACTTCGTACTCCATGTCGGTGATTGTCACTTGATTTTGCCGGCTTTCTTCCATGTCCGTGCTGAACATTGCCGCAAAGACAGGACTGCGGGCGGCCAGAATTGCTTTATGCGCCTTAATGGTGTGTCCTTCGAAAGCCAATGTAATATCGGTGAACTGTGCATTCTTGAGAATGCTTTCCAAGTCATGCTGCATTTTGCAAGTGGGAATCGACAAGGTGTTAACGGAGGTTTGTTTACGTATCACTGCTCGAACGTGACAAACGATCGTCAGTGTATCACCTGGATCAACTTTGTACTCCAGCAGTCTTAGTTGGGTCAAAAGTGAATCGATATGATGCTCGCAGCATCGTCTTTCGAAAATTCGGTAAGAGGGTCCTACCAAAGTCACTTCTCCTTCCGGCCCAATCAGTGAATATTTAAATTCAGCGGGTATTCGCTGATTGGTACCGATTAATAGCAATCCAAATTTCAAGTAACCATCCTTCTGCATAATGGAACAACGCCAGTCCCATGTAGTTTGATCGCTCGATTTAAATGTCCCTGATTCCAGCCTTTGTGGATCCTTAAGAAGAAAACTTATGTCGTATATGGTCCATCTATAGCAAACCTCGACATCTTCTGCAAAGGTGGTGGCTGAAACCGTGGTAGCATTCGGGGTCGTCATTTCGCCTGTCTGAAATAAACCAAAAAAGTACTAACACGATCAACTATATATAATCATCGCCCGCACAGCTCCTCCACGGCTATAAAAAAGTACCCAAAAGTAAGTTCGTTTCACTCATCTCGGCACTATAGTGCATGCACACTATTTCTAAACAACCCAAATTTGAGTGGCATCTACTCATATCCCTCAAAAGTAGGCCTACCCAAAATTGAGTAAACAAAGTTGGGGCTGACAAGATGACAAATAGACAAAACATCGTTCGAATTCGGGTCGATGTTGTCCATTCGTCATCTTGTCAGCCTCAACTTTGTTTACTCAATTTTGGGTAGCCCTACTTTCGACGAAAATGAGTAGATCCTACTCTAATTTGAGTTGTTTAGAAAAAGCGGGTCATAGTAGTTTTCATTTACTTCTGTGCAATTTGTATGGAATTTTTTTCTAACTGTCCACCCAAAAGTACACTCAAAGAATAAATCACATGTCCAATGGAATATATTCATTAGAATTTAACAGAACTTTCATGTAAATAATAATTGGGAATTGAACCACAAAATCACATGAACCTTATGTGTCAAATGAAATTTAAGTGATTTACAATATAGAGCTCATGTGATCACATGAATGTTATGTGAAATTCAGATAGATATAATTGGTTTTGTTAATGGAAAAATATTATGTGCATTCCCAATAGAAACAACGTGCAATTTGTTTTCCGTGTAGGTAAATATACGCTCCGTTGGGTTCTCACACGGCCAATCAGAACGACCCCGCGGCATTCGAAATTAACTCATATTTGTGAAAACCTGCAGCTGCTCATTAGCTATGAATTCCTGTAGGTTTTCCCAAACATGAAGGTGCTAATCAAGCCCAGCGCGTCGCAGGATGACGCCGGAAAACGAGTACTGCAAGCCAACCAGTATGCAGTACTCCCGGAAGAAAATGGCGATTGTGACGCCGTTCCCATTGCAAGACGAGAGCGGATTCCCCCGCTTTTCACGCCGGTGAAGGATGTTGCCAAGCTGGGTGCCAAACTGGCAAAACACAAGCTGCTGCCTCGCTTCGAGCTTTGCAGCATCGGTACCAAAATCATGTGCTCCAGCCTGGAGGAGTACAAACAAATAGGAAGTTTCCTGAAGAACAACAACGTTGACTTCTTCACGCATGATCTGCCATCGAGCAAGCCACTGAAGGTGGTTTTGCGTGGATTACCGTCGTTCGAGGCGACTGCGGTAAAATCCGAGCTGAAGCGGTTCGGGCTCAAGCCTGAGGCAGTGTACCCGATGAACCGGCGTACCAACCAAAACACCAGCTTCCGTGATCAGTTGTTCCTGGTGCATTTCACGAAGGGATCCACCAGTCTTGCGGCTCTGAGATCCAATATCCGGGACCTGTTTCACGTCATCATCAGTTGGGAGCATTACAAACCCCAACATCGTGATGTAACGCAGTGTATGAACTGTCTCTCATATGGCCATGGCACCAAAAACTGCCACATGAAGTCAAACTGCGACAAGTGTGCTGGAACTCACTCAACTGCGTCCTCTGAGCAAGTCGATGACATCGAACGTCCTCCGCGGATGTCCCAAGCGAGTGGAGTTCATTAATATCCATCGGAAGGCCACAATCAACAACCAGCCCGGTCGCCTCCGTAATCATCGTTCGCCTCCTGTACTCACGGAAGTCCAGTACCCAGCTCTCCAGCCCCGTCGATATGTTCCGAACCTAGCCCCGCTTCCGCTCAACAGCCAACAAGCCAATCCTGCGAGTATCCAAATGGTGCCTAACAGTCGGACAGTTCAGCATCGTCTCGCTGCTGCGGCCCAGCCAATTCCAGGTTCCCTGGTTTATCATACGCTGGTGCTGTCTCAGGTGAATCTGTCGACGATTCTCCGATCACCTCGGAGGAACTTGTGACGCTCCTGGCCGAGGTCATCATCATCATGCGCACCTGCAAGACTCGATCTGAACTGCTTCATGGTGCCTTGTCACTCGTCACCAAGTATGGACCGTGAAGCTATAAAAATTGCAAATTGGAACGCTTGCTCACTGACGAACAAGCATAGAGAGCTACTCGATTTCCTCAAAACCAAGGAGGTCGACATTGCCATCATCACCGAGACGCATCTGAAGCCCGAACTGAACGTATTCCTTCCCGACTTCCGGCTCGTCAGACTTGATCGCACCTGCTCTGGAGGTGGGGGAGTGGCCATCGCTACCAAACTTCCAGCTGAAAACAATTGAAGCCATCGGAGTGGAGGTGAGCACATCACTTGGCCCAATCACCATCATCGCGGCCTACTACCCCAAGCAAACCAACATCAGGGACGGGTCGTCAGTGGCCCTCCGGAAAGACATCATCAAACTCACCCGGAGGAGCGGGAACTTTATCATCGCTGGCGATCTGAACGCAAAACACCAAGCTTGGGGCAACGGTCGGAGCAATAGAAACGGCATCATCCTCAATGAAGACCTGCCATACCATCATGGCCCCGGACTCTTCCACCCGTTGAGTCGGTCTGGGGTCCATGCGTCCATTGACATCTTCGTAAGCAACATGGGACACAACGTCTCGCAATCTGTGGCATTCCAGGAGCTGAGCTCTGACCACTACCCGGTGGTGGCCGAAGTAGGATCCTCGGTAAACCGATTCGAAGCTTCCCGGCGCAACTACCATCGAGTCAACTGGGCGCAATATCAACACTGCGTCGACACAACCATCGACTACGATGTCCAACCGGGGACGTCGGAAAATGTTGACCGGTGCCAACAAACTATTGAGGAGGCAATTTCCCGGGCCAGGGAACAACACGTGCCAGTATCCAGACAGGTGAGTAACACTCTGAACCTTGACATCCCTACCAAAGATCTCATTAGACTCCGTAACACCATTCGTAGGCAGTACCAGCGTACTGGCCTGTCTATCTTGAAGACCAATTGTAATCGATTAACAAAGATCATTCAGGCCAGGATGGATGGTGGATCTCAGAAATAACAATTTTGCTAGTAAGATCCACTCTCTCCCAGATTGTGCAAAGCCCTTCTGGAAACTTACAAACATTCTTAAGAACAAGCCTAGGCCCATTCCACCACTGACCCCACTGGATCGTCCCGGCGACCCAGTGGTTCATCTGATAACTCCTGAAGAGAAGGCTGCCGCGATAGGTCAACACTTCGTCAGCTCCCATAATCTCGGACAAAACATCGTCAGCCCTCATGAATCTGAAATTGCTGAAAATGTAACCAATCTTCTTCAGATTCCTAACATTTTTCCAGAGGAATCCGAGATTACGGCTGACGAACTGTTGGCCTATATCAAAAAACATGAAGGCCCCAGGTTTCGACAACGTCCTGAATCTGGAACTCAAACACTTGAGTTCCAGATTCTGCAACCATCTGGACAACCTCAGACTTGGCTACTTCCCCTCGTGTTGAAAGTCAGCTAAAGTCATACCCATCCGGAAACCTGGGAAGGATCCGTCCTCTCCTTGAAGTTATCGACCAATCAGCCTTCTTTCAGGGTTATCAAAATTGTTCGAAACAGCACTGTACCACCGGCTCCTAACATCTGCCGGCGAAAACAACTTGTTACTCGAGGAACAGTTTGGTTTTCGGAAAGGTCGTTCGACCGTCCACCAGCTGACTCGAGTAACAAACATTCTCAGACGGAACAAGTCTGTTTCGAAAACATCTGCCATGGCGTTGTTGGACGTTGAAAAAGCGTTCGACAATGTCTGGCATGATGGCCTGGTGTTCAAATTGCAGCAGTACGGTCTTCCAATCTTTCTAGTGAAGATCATAAACAACTATCTATCAGACAGGACGTTCCGAGTCTCTATGAATGGCATAACATCGGATGCTTTCAACATCGGTGCCGGGGTTCCACAAGGAAGCATCCTTGGCCCCATCCTATTCAACCTGTTCACCTCCGATATGCCGGCTTTCCCTGATGGTGGATCGTTGTCTCTGTTCGCAGATGACACATCCATCATCTACAAGGGTAGGGTCATCGAAGCTCTGACTGCCAAACTTCAGAAAGGCCTGGACGTCCTGTCTGAATACTTCAACAGCTGGAAGATCCGTATCAACGCGGCAAAGACCCAGGTCATTATCTTTCCACACTCTAAATCTCCTAGACTTGTTCCGTCGGAGAATAACAAGATCTGCCTGAACGGCACAGTGGTGGAATGGTCCAAAGAGGTCGTGTACCTCGGGCTAACCCTAGACAGCAAGCTTCTTTTCAGGGAGCACGTTGACAAAACAAAAACCAAGTGCAACATCTTGATAAGATCGTTGTATCCACTTATCAACAGGAAGTCAACCCTGTCCCTGAAAAATAAGCTTGCTGTTTACAAACAAATCATCCTTCCTGTAATCGAGTACGGTATGCCAATCTGGGGAGTTGCGCAAAATGCCATCACCTTAAACTCCAAAGGATCCAGAACAAGATCCTTAGGATGGTCCTCAACAGTCCCCCGCGGACTAGAAATTCTGAGAACCAAATTCAAACATTAGAAGAACGGAGAGTATTCATCCTGGAAAGGTTCAGAGACACCTGTCTGAGATCAAATCATCAGATCATACGTGATCTAGCACGTTAGGTTACTCGTAGTTAGGTAGGTTATCACTTTTTTTTCAATTCAAATAAAACACAACCCCAAAGGAGCAGTGATGCCACATTTTTTTGATTTTCAATCTGTATTTTCATCGCAAAAAATCTTTTTAATCTGT